AATTGTACAAAATTATTCGAAAAAAATTTATTAACAATTTATTAGATTCTACATACGTATAAATTTTCCTTTTTTTTCCCACCTTTGGTTAATTCATTAACTACCAACACTACGTACCTTATGTACCCAAGCTAAGTACCCGAATTATGTATTAAAGCTATGTACCCAAGTCATGTACCCGAATTATGTACCCAAATTATGACCCGAATTATGTACCCAAATTATGACCCGAACTATGTACGTACAAACAATATAAAACTTTTATTATATATTCTATTAACAATAACTAAAATATTTTTACTGTATTTTTTAAATAGGGAATGTTAAAAATTCATATTCGGTTCGACTCCAAAAGTTAAGTTAGTCGATCATAAGTCGATCCAAAGTTTGGCTTATGCGTAATGATTAGAATTATTAAAAAATGGATTATGAGTTCTAGCTTGATTCTTAAAAAAAAAAAATTTTGTATAAATTAAATATAAAGTTAGATCAGATTCTAATCCTATCTGTATTGGGTCAATATCCGTGTTATATATATTCTTTATGTGTCATTCATATGGTTCTTAAAAAACACCCAGAGAATGTGTACCAGGTTTGGTTCGGATAATCGCCCGGATGATCGTTTGGATGATCACTTTAAAAACTAAGCAATTTCGATTAATGTCGATTAAAAAAAACACATATATATATTATATATCCAGTCGGCTCTGAATGCAACGAACTTAAATATTTAAATTTCACCATAGTTCGGTCATGAGTTCTTAATAAAACAGTGGTTTTTTATAACGACCTTTTTTTTTTTTTACCGTCAATTCGCTATAGAAAGAGTTAAGACTGTATAAAGTTTTCTTTCAATTAAATAAAATAATATTTTATATGCTTTATAACGTTATATAATGTTACAGACTTTGCTTTTGACACTCAAAAATTTTTTTAATAATTAATTTGGGATGTTTTTTTATAAGTTTTTAACTCCAATGGCGTAAAACAATTCGTATTTCTATTTCTTAAATTGTTAGTTTTTATTCATATTTATTAATTTTTGGCTTGACTAAAATTACTATCTCATCCCTTTAAAAAATAACTTTGATCCCTTTAACTGGATAGGTTCTGATCAGGTGTATCGCGTTGTTGAAACACATGAACTCACTTTAAGCATCAATTATCGCGTTTTTAAAAGTGATTTTATGGTATAAATATTCGTTGAAGTGGGATAAGTGGTTCAATATATTCAATAGTTCGTTAGGTTCTATTTATATTGTAGGTTTAGCTTGTAAAATAGCAAAGTAATGGTTTACAATATTAAAATACGATTCTGTAATGAACTTTATATCTTTTTTGCAAAATAAAAAGCTTAGAAATATTTATTTACGTAAAAGTTTAATTTTTTGCATAAATTAATATAAAACGTAACGGTAATGAATACATAATTTCTTTAGTGTTATAGTTCGATAATACGATAATTCTGATCTAATTATCCGGATGACCATCCGAATCCAACCTGGTATACATTTTCTAGGTGCAAACCTGTAAAGGTAGTAATAACTGTAGCATCAGATTTTTTTAATACTCTATTATTCTGTAAAAAATAAAGTTTCGTCTGAATTTGAAAGACGCATCTAACTTTCTTGAATAATGCAGATAAATTAAACCAATGGCAAAATTTATCTTATTTTACGTCAAATATCCTTAGTACAGGAATCCAATTCAGAATTTTTGCGATGACCAATGTAATTGCAAAGACAGTTATAATAATAATAAAAATTGTCATAATTAAAAAGCGTAAAAGAAATTAATAAAACATCTATGGTCTATAAAGTAGGCTCCAATCACCTAATTATAAATTGTTACACATACTAACCCTTACAGACGAAGAGTAAATATACAATCTTTACCTACAACAATGGTCAAAAAAGAGTTCGTTTGATAATCAAGTCCTTTCAGCCATACACCTACAAAACATACTTCTTAGGCATCGGCAACCTATGAAATATATTTTTTCGGATTCTTACCACCTACGAAACATGCATTGCACATGTTTTTTGGCACCGGACCCCGTGCACCAACCGAAACATAAATGTTTCTTTTGATTCTCGCTACCTACCAAAACACAATAATTGTTTCTCGGGTTTCGCCTACCGAAAAGCAAGCGTTTCTCGGCTTCTCGGTGGATCTAGATCTACAGAAATACTAAAAGCATTTCCTTCGACTTAGATCAGGGTAAAACTTGTATATTATCAAAGTACTATCTTTCTGTCAATGTCAGGTCAGGCAAGAGAAAAGAGTAACGCAAAAATTTAAAAACAATCGCGAGTAACAAATGATATGGTCTGGCCAATAAAAATAGCACCTGGAAAATGTGTACCGGATGGTCGTCCGGATAATTAGATCGGAATTATAGTATCATCAAATTATAACGCTAAAGAAATTACGTATTCATTACCATTACGTTTTATATTAATTTATGCAATAATTGTAAACCGTTACTTTGCTATTTTACAAGCTAAAACTACAATATAAATTAGAACCTATCGAACTATTGAATATTTTGAATCTACTTATCCCATTTCAACGAATACTTATACCACAAAATCACTTTTAAAAACGCGATAATAGAGAATATTAATATTAAAGAAAATAGATGCTTAAAGTGAGTTCATGTGTTTCAACAACGCGATACACCTGATCAGAACTTATCCAGTTAAAGGGATCAAAGTCATTTTTTAAAGGGATGAGATAGTAATTTTGATCAAGCCAAAAATTAATAAATATGAATAAAAATTCACATAATATAATAAATAGAAACACGAATTGTTTTTACGGCATTTGAAGTTAAAACTTATAAAAAAACAACCCAAATTAATTATTAAAAAAAATTTTATTGAATGTCAAAAGCGAAAGTCTGTAACATTGTATAACGTTATAAAGTATATGAAATATTGGTTTATTTAATTGAAAAAAAAAACTTTGTATTAATAAAGAAAACTTTATATAGTCTTAACTCTTTCTATAGCGAATTGACGGTAAAAAAAAAATGTCGTTATAAAAAATCGCTATGTTTTATCAAGAACTCATGACCGAACTATTGTGGAATTTAAATATTTAAGTTCGTTGCATTCAAAGCCGACTGGATATAAAATATATATATGTATGTTTTTTTTTAATCGACAAAATCTTTGCGTTAATCGAAATTGCTTAATTTTTAAAGTGTTCACGTTTTCCGGGTGCTTGAATATACCCTTAGAACTTCATGCAGTTGCTGGCGTGCAAGAGGCATATCTATTTTGTAAAGAACACTTTGAAGAAAATTAGATGCAAAACAGTTAATTTAATTTTTATGTAAAGGGCCCGAAAATCTGTTGATAATAATGCAATAATATCAGTGGTATAAAACAGAAAAAAGATAAATTTACATGCTATATACTGTATTTAGAATATTAAGAATATTTTATATTTAATGATTTATATAGGTAGTTAAAGAAGCAAGTCCATTTCACAGGACAAGGTAATTTATGTTCTTTGATTGAATTCTGAATCCAAATGTTTCGTTCATTATGAAACCGTGGAGCTCTATCCACATAAACGTCGCATGGTTATTCAAAAAGCATGCTGATGTTCGATTGATATTTGTTCAGTAAAGGTAAATAAATTGGTAAATGAAAAATTTTACTATCACAACGAATTGATTATCCTGAATTTATCTTAGGTACCAGCTTTATTCATCGAGAATTTTTGATTATTATTAAGATATTTGAAAGGATTTTGTTTATTATATTTTTGACATCTGATTTATTGGGGAATAGTGCGATTAGTGACCAGAAGAATGTCACTCGGGTCACACGGCGGTTGAACCATGGATCAACCGGTCATCATCTGGGTGCTCAACTAGTGGGTAACCACGGTTGATCAGTGGTTACCCACGGATATAGATGCTGGTGAAACTGATGAAACTCTTGGTGAATATTGGTGAAATTTAATATAAAGCCAATCGGATTTTAGATAGTCACCAGTTTCACCAACATTATTTAGTTTCACCAGCATCTATACCCACGGATTCGAAGTTACTACCTAAATGATGATCGGCAATATAGGGATTTCTTCTGTTTATTTTTCTTAGATTTTTTGTATCTCTAAGTTCCTGATAGGAATCACTAAAAAACGTCATGATTAGTAATCGTTATATAATGAAAACTAATACTAGCGGAGACATAAAAAAGGTCCTGTCCAGGGACTTATCAAACACCCGGTATACAGGGTGTTACTTTTTTTTAAAGTAACGTTATATAGACCATGTATAGGACACCCTGTATATATCTATAGGGGGCATGCCCCAAAAATTTGCCGTGCCCCCAACCCTAAAATTGATTGGTTGATTATCACGGGTAATCACTGTATCAAACCATATTACATAGTTTACATAGTGATGGGCCGCGTGGGATTTTTAATGAGATTATTTGGCCTACATTAGCATATCATCCGGCCTGCATTAACATTAATGAGCTAATTTCTAATCAGTAATTGATTAATGCACATGCATTCCTACGTATATATACTTGATTTAAATTTTTTTTTGCCGTGTGATGATACAATAGCAAAAACATTTCTTGATGAAATTTCCCAATGTTATCGTGTTCGGTTCCCATTACCTGATCATCCGTAGTTCTTACTATTCCTTGTTATAATAAATATATAACCATTATTAAGCTATTCTTTAAACAACGTTATTATAAGATGGGCGTTAATAAACCAATTTGGCATCCTTTTGAAAACCTTGGACCAGACCCAGATTATAAACAAGAGCGTGCAAAATGTATGATTATTTAAAATATATTATTTTAACAAGAAATTATATTTCTAGTGATAATCTTTATATATATTTTTATAATTCATGAAAAATTAAAAAACTTTATTCCGCGGAATTCCGCGCGTTCCATCACTACGCGAATAATACTTTTTTTTTTTTTTACTTTTCAAAACTAATGGTTTTATTTTTTTTCAGATTAGTTTGTCACTATTTGTGTGAAGTTATTGACGACGATTGTAGGAGTTCTTGATCTTGACAACGCTTCGGATGACTTTTCTGAATTCTTAACGGCGTTTCTGGGAGTTAAAGCTATCATGGAGCGTTCAACTAAATGAAAAGTTAAAGAGGCATGTATATTTTCTAATAAAGAAACGACATCTTCCATTTGTTGTGATATTTCCTAAAGACAGCACTTCTAGGCACACAAAATATCTACTTTGTGATATAACACTTGTAAGAGTGATTATTGCTAGAATTATTGTCCGGAGCGTAGCGAAGGACATTTAATGTTCTGTTCGCATGTATGTGCTCCGGACACACAATGCTATTGCATTAACATATTCTATGCACACGAAGTACAAATCACTTCGTGATATCACACTTAAATTGCTTAGATTGACTGTCTTCGGAAACGAAATTAAGTAGTTTGGTATCACATAAAAACGAAGATGAAGCTTCTTTAATTAAGGATTACTAATTCTGATGAAAGAATTAGTTATGCACTTTCTTATAAAGAAGCTTATTGGTATTAGTAATATTATGCTTAATGAATATAATTATGATATTAATTTTTTTTTTTTATAATAGGAAAACAAAAGTATTTTAGTCAGTTCGCATATGAGTTATGAATAGTAGTAGTGTACGAGTAGTGAAGTATACTACAAAAATCGCATTTGAGTTTATGTAGCATACTATACTCATAATATATATATATATATTTTTTATAATAGGAAAACAAAAGTATTTTATAGTCAGTTCGCATATGATTTGTGAATAGTAATAATGTATGAGTAGTGAAGTATACTACAAAATCGCATTTGAGTATATAGAAGTAGCATACTATACTCATAAATATTTATATATATATTTATTTTACGAATGTGCATAATAAAATGTTAATAAATATCGTTATTACTAATAAGTTGAAAATTTTACGTCTCGAGTTAAAATATAACCAATATTATGCTTTATCGAATGATTTTTGGAATTGCTACGTAAATGCGGTAAAAAAATTAGCCGATAGAATAAATTCTGGAATCAATTTTTGCAAGATTTTCAGAATTTATGAAAAACAATTGTAATTGGCTAGATACAAAATTATGGATAATTTTATTAAAGTAGATAACGATAATCATTCAACGATTTAGCTATCACCCGAAATGCCGCCACCTAAAACTTCTGGAATCCGAAAGTACGTTAAAAGCCATCATTCTTGTTGATAACTTTAATAAACGATTCCGTCCCATAACCCTTGTTAGGCCACGAGTATGATTTTCTGTGATTAGGGATTATTTCACACCCCACACTATCATAATGTCGCCTCAACCTTGTAGTGTACCACTCATTGAATATACCTTAGAACTTCTTGCAGTTGCTGGCGTGCAAGGCATATCTATTTTGTAGAGAACACTTTGAAATAATAAAAGATTATATCAAGTAAGTTTGGCATTTTATATACTCTTAGCGATCGTATTCTTAGCATTATATAAATTAAGAAATTAGATAATTTTTCAATCCAGAAAGTCAAAATGGAGTCGATTATATTCTCCTATAAAATTACTATTGTAACACCTGAAGCGCATTCAGTTGGAGATGCAAAACAGTTAATTAATTCATATACGGTGATGTTGTACGTATCAAATATACATTTAGACAAAGCATTGGATGCTCATAGGCAAGTTTTATGCGGATCTAATGTTTACATTTTATCCAACTATAATGTTATAATTAATTTTAATTATTATATAAAGGGCTCGTCAATCTGCTGATAATAATGCAATATGGTATAACCAAAAAAAAAGATAAATTTACATGCTATATATTTAGGATATTAAGAATATTTTATATTTAATGATTTATATAGGTAGTTAAAGAAGCAAGTCCATTTCACAGGACAAGGTAAGTTATGATTCTTGATTAAGTTCTGAATTGAAATCTTTCATTAAATTTGTAATATCTTTTTTCAGATCTTTAGGTGAATCCCCAATTTTCGTACTAGATGGGAAAACTAATGAATGTGTTCATTGTGAAACCGTGGAGCTCTGTCCGCGTAAACGTCGTATTACTATGGATATGGAAGTATTCAAAAAGCATGCCGATGTTCAAATACGTAATGATCTTATCGATTGTCAGGTTGATATGTGTTCAGTAGAGGTAAATAAATTGATAAATGAAAAATTTTACTATCACAACGAATTGATTATTCTGAATTTATCTTAGGTACCAGCTTTATTCACCGAGAGTTTTTGATTATCAAGATATTCGAAAGGATTTTGTTTATGATATTTTGATATCTGATTTATTGAGGAAAACCATTTATTGCCATCTTGTTACCCACTGCAATAGTGATTGCCATCTTGTTACCCACTGCAATAGTGATTGCCATCCTGTTACCCACTGCAATAGTGATTGCCATCTTGTTACCCACTGCAATAGTGATTGCCATCCTGTTACCCACTGCAATAGTGATTGCCATCTTGTTACCCACTGCAATAGTGATTTTAACGTATCCAATTTCAATGTAAGAAACATTAGAATCTACTGATGATAATGAAATAAATGAATCAGAGTTAA